ACCATCTCTTCCATTCCTTTCCTCTTACCACAGTATTTGGAAATAAGAATGTGATGAAAATCTTTTCTCTAAACCCCTAAGTTGGATTCTCTGCTACCAACTGCATTAAAAATACTTCAATCTCACATTTAAATGCCATTTCTATACCTCTTTACAACTCCTTAAAATAATGCAAATTAAACAATTTATTACCCCTCCACCAGGTTCACCCCGGTCGCCTGGGGCTCCTTGACCTCCTTGTTCTCCCTAAGAAAAAAGTCATCATAATATATATCAAATAGAAGCAACATGTGTGTAGAGAAGGAATTCCTTCTTAAACTTATAGACTGCTTCTTTAAATTATTTTTTCTTGAAACTGTAAGCAGAAGTTTCAGTGTGAAGGGAGTTAATTCATTAATAAAAGTCAGAAAATTCACCACTTAATTTCTATCCAGAATTCAATGGCCTACTGGCAGAGACTTTTTTTTATTTTAAATAGGAAAATGTTTCTTTTGCTTTACTTTTCCTGTAATCACCATTTCCTGATGAAGAACCAGAGCTTGATCTCTCAGTCTAAGGTCAGTCTCTGCACACCAACAAAACGCTGTGACAAACTAGCCACTTACTTATACTTTTCTCAGACAAAAAAACAGAAACAATAATTATTGTTATGAGTCTTAATATATTATTCAGGCATGCAACTGAAAACAGCCTCCCAAAAACTTACGCGATCTCCTTTTACACCAGAAAGACCACGGACACCTGGAACACCTGGAGGTCCCTAATAGTTAAGTAAGATTGGCAAAAAATGTTTAATACTATAAACTGCAATATATCAATTAACTCCAGAAAACTAAATGTATCTAAAGTTGAATATAGAATGCTGCTCATAGAGAGTGCAATGAGGAATATATCTAAAAAAGGTAGAAGTGGTGCAGTGTGGACTGGAGTATGAATGAAGTGCCCAAGAAAGGGAAAGCAGAAGTACATATGAAACAAAATTTGCTCAATACGCTATATTAATGTAGATTGCATTATGCACAACCCATCATTTAGAATATTTAAAATATGGATCATCATGATTATGCAGATTACATCTATTTCTGGAAGGAAAAGTTTTGATTTCAAGTTTGTGTCGTTGGAGGCCACTATGAAATTATTTTGAGATGTTTATCATCTTTTGTGGTGTCACATAAGGCAAAAACTGAAAAAGTTATATCATCAGATCTACATAATTTGCTGATTTAAAAGGTAAAATGCTCTCTCTTCAAATAAGAAAATTCTCTCCTAAGTTCTATGATGCAGTGATTACACCTAATAAGATATTTCTGCAAGGAAAAACTTGTTTTATATCACACACATTCCTGAAATGATTGAGATGTTTATTGCTTTCTGCTGTCTTCCATAGTGTCACAGCAAGAATTGAAAACATACCGTCTCAGTGGCTACATTCCACAAATCACAAAAGAAGAGAACTGAACTGTGTATCAAGTGCGAAAGTCGAATTACTAATTACTCCGCAAAAAAAAAAAAACAATCAGTAGTGCTGGGAAACATTGGGTCAAAACTGCAGGGTCATGCAAGATCAAAATAATCTATTGTTACACATATACTCACTCATCTTGACAACATATGATAGGAGGCAGTAGTGTGAATATGAGTAGAAGAAGTAAATATGAAATGTGTGTGCCAAAGTGAAGATGATAGAATTATTAATTCATGGTTATGGTTACGATAGCTTACAGTAGATTGTTTTCAATAGGCCATTTTACAGTTGTGTACTTAGTTGCCAAGCCTTTGATTCAGAGTGAGGCTGAAGGTGACCTTGTTGTGATAGAGAACTGTATCTACTTAGCATGATAACAAAGTGATTTACATTTGAAAGGCAGCAAGGTTTGTATCATAACAATTAAGGTCAACCCTAGCCTCACTCCTATTCAAAGGCTTGGCAACCAAGCACACAACTGTAAAATGGACTATTAATGTTCTCAAACAGTAACAACTCAGTACTAAAATGAATGCACCAATTCAAACTCCTACAAAATGCCTGAAGTGCTTTTTTAAAGCAACTCAGTTAAATTGTTTTCTCCTGTTGGTCGCTATTTACAAATAATTTTTGCATCTACTTAGAGTGGCTTAATTTATATAATTCCTAAAAAAGAAAAACAGCATGTCCCCAAAAGAGCTTAAAGGTCCTCTACAAAATTGGTGAATGGGACAAATTTCCCCCAAAAGTAAAACTGTAGACTACATGTACAGGCAACTGGCAACAAGTGGACTTCACTGTCAGTATCTCCTGAAGAAGGCTCACAGTAGGGAGTCAAACCACACCAAGATTGACCACACAGTCAGACAGGACAAATGTACTTTGTTTAACATTTTTAAAATTAAACATTAATTATCAATGATTCATCTTACTTGTATTCCTTGTTGTCCACTGTCCCCCGCTTGACCTGCAGGTCCAGGTATACCCTACAGTTTGTTAAAATAACAAATGTTAAGTGTAACCCTGCAGGGATGATATTTTTAAATATCATCTCTGTGATATTAAAAATTAATTATAACAGTTTTCATTAAGACCTTAATTAGCTACATATAATTGTAAAATTAAAAGTAAGTTTCCAAGCTTTTGCAATACACCCTACCATGCATCTACAGCTATTACTGTAATTTCTGGCTGTTTACTCACGGGTAATCTGTTGATTTTGCCTTAAACACGTGCCACTGAGGGTAATAGGGAGGTGCAAGTTATGAGACAATTTTGAAATCTATTGGTAGTTGAATTGAAAAAAATTCTCACCTACCTGCATTTTCACCTCTCAAATTAATTTTATTGTATTAAGAGTGTCACAAAGTGGCACTCGAGGTCATTTCCTGACACACAATTAGTTGCGCGACAAACAAATTTTTATCGGGGTGTGGACAAAACCTGGCCTCTAGGCCATGGCCCACCCTGTGGCCTACCCTGGCCTACCCTGTGGCCTACCCTATGGCCTACCCTATGGCCTACCCTATGGCCTACCGATGGTCAGATTTTTAAGAACATAAAAATAAAATCAGTAAGAGTCGAATGAATACGCTGGTGTACAATTATCTGTCTCTGAAAAGGGTATACTAAGAGGTCGCTAACACGATTTCCAACGTCTGAGGGAATAAATCACTGCAAATATCACAGCACTCAACCATAATGGTAGGTTAAGGGGGAGGGGAGAGGAGAGGCCAATATTGCGTGGTCGCAGAGGATATACTAAATGACGGCTTTATGATGCAGGCTGTCAGTTGGTAACATACGCACGCATCACCATCGTAAACATTTCGCAAACTTTACATGCTTTTCCAAAGAAAGGGCCAGTATTGCACTAATTTGAAAGGAGAGCTGATATGATGATGTTTGCCCAAAAGTTGCATTCAACCGGCTTCTGTACCTCAATTTCCTTATTCTATCAGAAGGTTAAGAAATTTTGATCGGAATGTGGCCACCACAACAGCAGAAGAAAGTCGTTGGTAAGACAGTACTCAGGAAAACGTTGAAAAGTTTCCAGCAATGCTATCCTTTTAAAAATCTGACCACCGGTAGGCCACAAGGTAGGCCACAGGGTAGGCCACAGGGTAGGCCATGGCCTAGGCCAGGTTTTGTCCACACCCTTAATTTATCGGCACACGTGTAAACAAAACCTGATGGTGACAAAAAAAATGCAAGGGTATTCGGCGCATCAGTAACAAATTTAATCCAGTTAACACTAGCATGAGCTGAAGAGAATTTTCCTGTTTTAAGGGACTTGTTAAGCCCAGTAGATCCAAAGATATCGATTTTTTTGAGAAATCAACAATTCATGGCATTCAACAATTGCTCGCACAAAATGTGGCCATGAATTCACATTTTGTCGAGTGTGAAACGTTGTGAACTCTGGAGCCTTTTTGTACAAATGTTCTTTGTTTTTAAGGTGAAGGTTATCCACCAGTGCAGGTAATCTGTTGACTTTTTTTTGCCATATGCAATAATCGGCAGGTGCCGATAATCAGCGGTGCGGGTAAACATCCGGAAATTACAGTAACTAGCAACTTTCAGGATAGAGCAACAATAGCAAAAAAATATCTAAAAGATCTAACTTCTGGTGAAGTGAACTTAAGTTTGGAGTCTAACATCTTGTTAAGAAGATATTAAACGATTTTGATCCCCTAGTCCTAAATGGCAAACCCCTTGAATTAGTCACCAGTGCCAAATTGCTAGGCGTGACCATTAGCCACGATTTAAAGTGGAACATGCACACCTCTCAAATAAGTAGAAAATGTTCC